GCTCTGGTGCGGCGGACAGCGCCCCCAGCAGACCAGGGAGATGCGGAGCAGCTTTTCTCGCCCCGGAGGACGCGGGCGGCGGGACCGCGGCGCATCTGGGCGTCCCGCCGCTTGCGTCCTCTGGGGCGAGAAAAGCCCCGTTCATAACTCGGATCCGCGTAACTCGGGGACTGCCTGTACATAACATGGAAAAGAGAGAAGGGGGTGCTGTGGATTAACAAAATGGACAATCGAATCTTTTACAAAAATTTCAGCCAATCCATTTTTTTTTTAGTAATACCAACTTTCTAAATATATGGAACATCTGTCTCGAGTGCAAGACGGTGGAGTTGTAGCTGTGTTGGTCCTAGCATATTAGAGATAAGGTACAGGAGGTAACATCTCTTACTGTACTAATTTCTATTGGTGAGAGACGAACTTTCAAGCCACACAGAGCTTGTCTCGCTCACTAACAGAAGGTAGCCCAATAAAACTCACCCCCATAGTCTCAAGTGAGACTATTTCATTCCCTCTTCTCTCCCCACTCCCACCCCCCAAAACACAATTTTTCTAAAAGTAAAACATTTACAGAATACAGCAAATATTACTGATGCCCAGAATTCACAGGGTCTGTGATTACTTACAGGTCCTGGCCATGTTCTAGCAACTGGTTTTGGTGTGCATTTCAATGAGGCATTTACAGTTTCATTTTTCTTAATTTAGATGTAATTGTTTAGCAATTGATGCAAAGGGTAACAGAGGAAGAAATAGCATGGATAAAATAGTGCTTATTACTTGCCTTTTCCTAAGATAAACAGGCGAACTGTCATATTCACAAAAATCCAGGAGAACCCCAAAAACTGCACAAGATTATACATGAACAAATATCCTCTCTTCAGCTGTCTGAAAGCTACAATGTTAAACAATCATGTTAGCAAAAAGCAATTGCACTGCTATTTTCTGCAACCAGCTTTCAGTGGTGAGGTGGGTTAGTGAGTTATCTCTAGATTTCAAAGGCTGGGTTACAAGAGAAAATGAGATTTCACACTATACTGGACAATACGGGGCTCCCAAACAATTTCCCACGAGGGCTTAAGAGAAACTCAGCACTGGAATAAGAGGAGTACAGGCAGTCCCCGGGTTACGTACAAGATAGGGACTGTAGGTTTGTTCTTAAGTTGAATCTGTATGTAAGTCAGAACTGGCATCCAGATTCAGCCCCGTTTGAAACTGATCAGTTTCAGCAGCGGCTGTCGCCAGTTCCGACTTACATACAGATTCAACTTAAGAACAAACCTACAGTCCCTATCTTGTACGTAACCCGGGGACTGCCTGTACTCCTCTTATTCCAGTGCTGAGTTTCTCTTAAGCCCTCGTGGGAAATTGTTTGGGAGCCCCGTATTGTCCAGTATAGTGTGAAATCTCATTTTCTCTTGTAACCCAGCCTTTGCCAGGCGCTGGCTTTGCTCGGGTGTCCCTGGTCTGCTGGGGGGGGGGGGGCAGCGGCTTTGCTGGACCCCCCCAGCAGACCAGGGGGACCGGGAGAAGCTTTTCTCGCCCCAGAGGACACGGGTGGTGACCCGCCGCCCGTGAGCTCCAGGGCAAGAAAAGCCCCGTTTGTAAGTGCGGATCCGACTAAAGTCGGATCCGCCTAAGTCGGGGACTGCCTGTACTGCACCTCTCACTGCTTGGGCTGGGCTTTCACGTCACCTGCTTGCACTATTGATGACAAAAATGGTGAAATCTCCCATGCAACAGAAGTGTAGTTTACCAAGCTTGTAAGTAGTTACATGCATAATAAAGTACTTTATGCTAGCTTTAGAGAGAACACCCATCTATCACCACTACTGTGATAGCATCAAAAGTACTCAAGCACATGCTTAAAGACATATTTTGCCTGGGGCATGCGTCAGCAAACTATTACCACAATCTTATCCTCCAAATCAACCTTACTAATACCAATACCCAAAGATACAGTTGCTTACTTACGGTCTTTAGGGACTCTGGACTCAATTCTCACTTTGTTAATCCTTTCTTCTTCCTAAAAAATGAGGGATAACGTTTTAAAGGGTGTGAGTGTAGTATTTCTATACAGTAATCAGCAACTAATATTTAGTTAACTGGCTGCAAAGCAAGTGGGGGTTTTACTCTGAGCTAACATCCATTCACTAGTCTACAGGGTTAAATTTTTCATCTAGGAAAAACCATGCAAATTCTTCCTTGTCAGGAAAGAGGGTTACTGTAAAAGCTCATGGCTGTCTAGCCAGCTACATGTCCTCTATTGTATATTTTCATCTAATGAATACATGTTTTTGAGGTGAAGTGTCATTTTCCATGTTAATTCTTGATCATTATCACTCAAAATGGTTTCTTTTCTTGTGAAAGTGTGAAGACCTCCTCTGGCTCTCTTCAGACCATTTACCACACACTGCTTCCCCAGAGTTCTGTTGTAAGATCACCCTGGACTGCTGCATCCTCAAAACAGCCCTTGTGATGTTCTGTATGGCTTACGTGGTCGTTAGGATGTAAGAAATGGCTGTGGGGCAGTATTGGCTGTAGAACTGACACCACTCACACCTGTGCCTGGCTGCCTGTGTCCTTTCCAAGAGGGATTATTATTTCTTTGCTAACCATTCTGGACGCAGTGGAAAGCTTGCGGAATCCATGTGAATTACCACGTAGCTGAATGTTAAAGACAGGGCTGACTGGGTGGCTCAGGAGGCTGCTTCTGGACACTCCATGTACAAATCCTCATTTTAGAAAACCTCGGACTCCTGCTTTTCACACAAGTGAAGCCAGGATGTTTTAGAAAGGGAGTCTCTTGGTCTTTGACCAGAGGAAACAGCACATACATATTCATTAGGAGAACTGCCAAGTTCAGAGCACTTTGATTTGGGGCCAATTCTACTAGCAATATAAGCAAAAAAGCAAGCATGAGCTTGAGATGGTCTTGTTTAATGAGAGCAGAGGACACATTGTGGCTGTGTCTACACTGGCATGAATTTCCGGAAATGCTTAAAACGGAATACTATTCCGTTTTCAGTTTTTCCGGAAAAGGCAGGCTGTTTTTCCGGAAAATCCCTTTTTCCGGAAAAGCGTCTGTGGCCAATGTAGACGCGCTTTTCCGGAAAAGAGCCCCAATCGCCATTTTCGCAATCGGGGCTTTTTTCCGGAAAAGACTACTGGGCTGTCTACACTGGCCCTTTTCCGGAACAGTGTTCCGGAATAAGGACTTATGCCCGAGCGGGAGCAGAATAGTTTTTCTGAAATAGCGGCTGATTTTGTACAGTAGAACGTCGTTGCTTTTCAAGGGCCAGTGTAGACAGCTCACAGCTTATTCCGGAAAAGTGGCTGATTTTCCGGAATAAGTGGCCCAGTGTAGACACAGCCTGTCTCTGATGGCTGGGCACCTTAAACTTCTGGAGACTTTGGTTTGTAGCTTGAGCCCGCTGCCAACATCAGATATCCTGCAGATTTTAGCTTCTTTAGACTGTGAGGTGTTTGGAGCAAGGGCCATCCATAGGGGTTAAAGACTAAATAAAGTCTAGCACAGTGGTCACCAAGCAGTAGACTGGGATCTACTAGTAGATCTTGGAGCCTCCGACCGGTGATCCTGACTGGGGTTTGGTCAGGAAGCTATCAAGTGCTGGCACTTCAGTTGCTCACCTGCCCCCCGCCTTGAAGCTGCCCCCCTGGGAGCCTCCTGCTTGTTGTGCAGGATATGGGGGAGAAAAGGAGGAAGGGCTGATGTCTGGGGGTCCCTCCTCACCCCCACTTCTGTACCCTATCGCCACACACAGAGAAGGGGGGGGAGCGTGTGTGTGTGTGTGTCCCTCCTCCCCCCCACTTCTGTACCCTATCGCCACACACAGAGAAGGGGGGGGAGCGTGTGTGTGTGTGTGATTCTCCTCTCCCGACCCAACACATACGTGGAGATTACTGTTACTACTTTTACTGTTTGCAAAGTGGGTTAGTTTTAGTTTTTGACTGGCCTGTGCATTTCATCATTTCTCTCTTACGCTTAAATGTAATTCTTGGAATAGTGAGTTCTAAGAGTAGTTTAATTTCTGGAGTAGTGAGTTCTGTCGTGGCTGGAGTAATTATTCCCATGGTAACTGCTGCACCTGGAAGTGGCTGGCATGTCCCTGCAGCCCTGAGAGAGGCAGAGTGGTGGTGGTGGGGGGGAGGTGTCTCCACATGCTTCCTTGCCTGCAGACCCCTCTCCTGCAGCTACCAATGATCAGGAATGGGGAACCGTGGCCAGTAGAAGCTGTGGGCTCCGGGCCTGTAGATAAGGGGCAGCACATGGCACCAGGAGCCACTGCTGTATGTGCCAGCTGCTTTCCGGAGTGGTGCAGGGCCAGGGCAGGAGTAAGCCTGCCTTAACCCCACTGCTCCACCACCCAGAAACTGTCTCAGTTAAATGGTGCCCAGCCAGAGCCTGCTTCCTGAACCCCTGTCCCAGCCCTGAACCTCCTTCTACACACACACTCCTTCCCAGAGCCTGCACCCTGAAATAAGCCCGGAGACCCTCCCACACTCCGAACCCTATGAACTAAGACCAGAGCCTGCACCCCAACCCCTTAGCTCAGCCTGGTCAAAGTGAGGATGGGAGAGGAAAGGAAGTAAGTGAGGATGGGGAAGGAAGGGGGATGGAGTGTGCAGGGTGAGGCCTCAGGAAGGGGTGGAGCAGGGTCTCAAAGAAAGGGTGGGAACGAAGTGGGACAAGGGAATTTGGGTCTGAAGTAGATCTTACATTGCACTTAAATAAAAAAGATCTTGGGGTTAAAAAGGCTGGAGACCACTGGTCTAGCGTGATGGCACCCTGATCCAGTCTAGGGCCTCTATGCATAACTTACAGATAAGGCGCATTTTAAATTAACTACCTCCCCTCCACTGCCCTGCTCCGCCCCCAGCTTCCGATCTTTATACAGAATCCGTTGCTTATTGTTGAATTTAGATCTTGCAGCCAGCATGCTGGACAGAACTCCAACCAAATATAAATGATAAAGTTAAACAACAAATGGTCTGGTAGCACTTTATAGACTAACTTGGCTACCCCATGAAGCTTCCAAATATAAATGTTAACTCAATGACAAGAGTCCATGCAAAATAAAGTAGCTACTTTTATTTCTTAGGACATGCACTCTTAGCTGCTTATTTACACTGCACTGAAAACATGTGGAATGCTGACCTTTGCTTTGAGTTCCATTTCAGCATCCGACTCATCTAGCCAGCGATCAAAATCAGGCGTTAGGAACAACGGGCGCTTCTCCTGTTTGGTGAGTCTTTCCCACCAGTTGCTTTCTTTTTTCTGCACTGTGATGTTCAATTGCCTTTGAGTCACTTTGTACACCAACTGTGAAACACACAACAGGCAGACACGCAAGCATGTTTCATTAGAACAGGGGCCCTCATAACAAGAATGTTTTGGATTAAATCAGGGCTGGTGAAAAGTTCTGTATTGACAACTCTGGCGAGCACTTGTATTACAGTGGAGGGTAAGGCCAAGAACTTTTACTACTTTTCCTGCAAAGCTTCACTTTGATATTGACGGGTTAGCAATTGCCCTGGCATTCAGCCATTTATCCTTCCAGAAAGGAGTCAAATTCTGCATTTCAAGGGAACAGACTCCTCTCCACTCAGCGAGAGGGGAAGGGAAGTTCTATCTACCCCAAGGAAGGAAGGCAGAATTCCTGGCTCCCAGATTTACTGCAGCTAATCCTGGTGGGCAAATCAAGAGCCAGGAAAGTTACGGGCCAAGTCTTGCTACTGTTATTCCCCACTGGGAGTGAAGATCAGTTTTGCAGGATGCCCTGTGACTAAAAGGACAGGCAGAGCTTTGATCCTTCCTGAGACTTCATCTTCCCAGTCTCTCTCCTGTTATGACACGGTGTTTTGCAGTAAGAGTTGTAACATGTTCCGATTGGAATTTTGAGTACAAGCAATGAGAGCACAAGTCAAGATTTCTAGCAAGGTCACAAAACACGTAAGACGTGTCATTGACTTATTTCAGAGGCCGCACTTCACAGAGGCTGTCAGAACAGATGATATTTCCCCCAATCTGGAACGCTTCATTCAGAAAAATTGCTAGTCTCTATTTTACGGCTCCAGTAAATTCTTTTCAAGCTGCTACTCACTCATTTCTGTTTTTCATTTAAAGCTGTGATCCTGTGAACCCATATTTAGTCACACAGTCGGAGATTTGAGTAAAGGTTGCAGAATCAGGCTCAAAGATGAGATATTGAACGTGTATGGCAGGGTGGGGATTGCCTGGATCCAGCCTGCAAGGCTCAGGGCTCCCCCCAGCATTGGAGAGCCTGCACTGGTGCTCCAGACACCCTGCTGCCCCACCTCGGGGTGGTAGCACACAATCTACTAGCCTGGGCTCCCCCAGGATCCGGTGTATGAGGGGAACGTGGGGAGTGTCTTTCTTCTCAGTCAGGGGCCGCATCAATGAGTGTTTGTTCTGGTTTTTTGCTTCACAGCCCCCCCCGACTGACCTTTCTGCGGGTCAGCAGCCCTCCAGCCCAAAAGAGGTCCCCCACCTCTGGTGTACGGCATTAGAACTTTTAATGACAGTAAAATCATCTGCTACAGCATTAGGAAGCAAAGCAACAACCTTACATTGCCTCCTAGGAGACTTAAAGCATAGCTGAAAAGTAACAGGGGTGGCTGTGTGAGTCTGAATCTGCAAGAACGAGAAGTCCTGTGGCACCTTATAGACTAACAGATTTATTGGAGCATAAGCTTTCACGGGCAAAGACCCAGTTCGTCAGATGCAAGTGGGTCTTTGCCCACAAAAGCTTATGCTCCAATAAATCTGTTAGTCTATAAGGTGCCACAGGACTCTTTGTTGTTCTTAAAGCATAGCTGTTTCCCTTTGGGAATTTTTAAGCCACTTAACAGTAACACTTTTCTTCTGTAAAGCACAGAGGGGGAAAAAAATACATACTTGAGGCTTGACTGGTTCTAGAAATGCAAGCTGAAATTCATATATATTGTCCCCCTTGGCACCGTGACCCTGGGCTAAAAGAAAAGGAACAACAATCAGTGTAAAGATCTAATGAGTCTTCCTCTGCAACTCTATCTGCAACTGAGTGATTTACAAAATGCCCTCTCTTGCCCAATGCGGTGCCTGGTCACGCTAGTTAATAATGGAAATGAAACAAGTGTTGCAGTTTCTTAGAATTTCATTTGCTTTTAAAGAAGTGACATTTAAAAATGTGCTGGGTGCCTTATAGGAGGGTTGACATTCTCTGGAATAGCACTGGAAAAAGACCTTTCTGTGAGACAGGCATGGATGAGGCTGGGGGGGGGGGCGAGTTCTACCCAATGGGAACTATTGCAGCAAAGGATCTGTGCCTAAGTTGAGATGCAAAGAGGGAATCCCTGCACAGAAAGCAAAGATGCACCAGAATTCATCAGTCTCCTTACAAAGCCAGGTCCTTCCCCATGAAAGCCCACAAGCTCATCTAAAGTCCTATTTTAAAGGGCGGCATTGTAAAATAATCCTGTCCACATAAAGCTCAATACAGTTTAAGTCAACACATTGCTCTTGTACCATATGCGTCAGGAATACAAGATGGAATAAAAACTCAGGGATTCAATATGAAAGATCCACAGTAGATTCCTAATGAAGAAAAAAAAGGCAACAGCATGTTCCTAGTACTAACCTAACAAATAAAACTGCAAACTGGGTCCTTTATGTTGAACTGCTCAGTCCAAAAAAAAAAAAGCCACCGCACACCCTTTACAAAGTAATTAATTTACCTTTCAAATTGAATTGTAGTTCCTGATCCAAAACCTGATAGTATTTGCACACAAGGTCTTTGTGATAGCATGCTTTCAATGGGAAGTTTCAGGAAAGACACACAGAAAATTAGCTGATCTATTTAAAGGCAGTGCATTTTAAAAAAATATACGTGACCTGCTACCAGGACTTATGATCATAAAACAACTACCCTAGTTAATCCGAGAACATTTATCTGAAACCCCAAACCACTAGCTCCAGTTGTATTGTGTTATGGTTTGGCCCAGAAGCTCTGGATGAGGGCAGGGGTCCTGGACTAGGGATGTAATAGTGTAGTTGATTAACTGATAAGAAAAAGCTCATAGGTTAATGCTATAGACTACACGCATTTTCCCCTCCCATTCCCTCCCCAGTAAATTTTTTAGGTCCAGGACCTACCCCTGCTGCAGCTCTGCATTTAAAGTGTATTAAGAGCCAGGTGGGCAGGCAGCCTGGCTCAGTTCTGGCTCATGCCAAGTCCGGGAGCTCAGGACCTCTCCCCACCCCACTCCGGACAGGGGCTGCTGCTGTTGTATCAGAGGCAGCAGCGCAGGGCAACAGGCAGCAGGTCTGTTAGGGGAGCTGGTTTTTTTTTACACTGGCTCCCCTTGCAGACCAGCTCCCATCTGGCACCCCACACTGCTGCCTCTGATAGAGAGGCAGCAGCACGTGGAGTAGCAGGGGGCTCCGTGGGAGTGGGGCTGGAGTGCACTGGCTGCCGGCCCCACCCCCACGGATGATAGAATAGTTGAGTAACCAATACACATTCATGAGGTTAACTGACTATTCAATTAACAAGGCCAAGGGCCTAATCATTTTCACTAAGACATCAGAAAACGGCGGTAGCGATCACTTGGCACTCCTATACTCTGTCCGGTTGGCTGGCATGTCTCTGCACGGCTAAGAGTCCACCCTGCACACACGGGCTAGGTATGATATTAACTTCAAAACAAAATAAGCCACTTACCTTTGAAATACAGCACATTGTCCACAATGGAGATCTCGGGGCTCTGGGGAAAGAGGGGTTGTTTGAGGCAGCAGGTGCATGCCATTCCAAACACACAATTTTAACACCAGGATGGTGGCAATGGAGTTGGGCTCAGAAAGTGACCCGGGGGAAAAAAATGGAAGCTTCAAGCAGCAAGGCCTGCAGGTTACCGTTACACCGGCGGTGCTCCAGCCTTTTGCTTGGGGTGGGAGAACTGTACAGTCAGGAAGGGATTTCCCTGGGCTGCATGCCCCTGCATGGGACAGGCCCAGTGGTCTCTGTAAGCTGAACACTTGGGCGGCCGCCAGAGAGAGTCCAATGCCACCCAGCTGGGGAGCAGAGGCCCGCCTGTGTGTCCACGGGTGGTGCACAAACGCACGGGCCTCAGCGCATTCAACAACATTTATTCCGCACGTGGACGGGGGAAACAAATGAGCGGGAAGGATGCACAGGAGCATGCCGCGGGCTGGCATAGGGGGAGGGTGGGTAGGGTAATGCACAGTGCAGGGTGGGGTGCGTAGGTAGGTAGGTGGGGCAATGCACCAGCGCAGGGTGGGTAGGGTAATGCACAGTGCAGGGTGGGGTGCGTAGGTAGGTAGGTGGGGCAATGCACCAGCGCAGGGTGGGTAGGGTAATGCACAGTGCAGGGTGGGGTGCGTAGGTAGGTAGGTGGGGCAATGCACCAGCGCAGGGTGGGTAGGGTAATGCACAGTGCAGGGTGGGGTGGGTAGGTAGGTAGGTGGGGCAATGCACCAGCGCAGGGTGGGTAGGGTAATGCACAGTGCAGGGTGGGGTGCGTAGGTAGGTAGGTGGGGCAATGCACCAGCGCAGGGTGGGTAGGGTAATGCACAGTGCAGGGTGGGGTGCGTAGGTAGGTAGGTGGGGCAATGCACCAGCGCAGGGTGGGTAGGGTAATGCACAGTGCAGGGTGGGGTGCGTAGGTAGGTAGGTGGGGCAATGCACCAGCGCAGGGTGGGTAGGGTAATGCACAGTGCAGGGTGGGGTGCGTAGGTAGGTAGGTGGGGCAATGCACCAGCGCAGGGTGGGTAGGGTAATGCACAGTGCAGGGTGGGGTGCGTAGGTAGGTAGGTGGGGCAATGCACCAGCGCAGGGTGGGTAGGGTAATGCACAGTGCAGGGTGGGGTGCGTAGGTAGGTAGGTGGGGCAATGCACCAGCGCAGGGTGGGTAGGGTAATGCACAGTGCAGGGTGGGGTGCGTAGGTAGGTAGGTGGGGCAATGCACCAGCGCAGGGTGGGTAGGGTAATGCACAGTGCAGGGTGGGGTGCGTAGGTAGGTAGGTGGGGCAATGCACCAGCGCAGGGTGGGTAGGGTAATGCACAGTGCAGGGTGGGGTGCGTAGGTAGGTAGGTGGGGCAATGCACCAGCGCAGGGTGGGTAGGGTAATGCACAGTGCAGGGTGGGGTGCGTAGGTAGGTAGGTGGGGCAATGCACCAGCGCAGGGTGGGTAGGGTAATGCACAGTGCAGGGTGGGGTGCGTAGGTAGGTAGGTGGGGCAATGCACCAGCGCAGGGTGGGTAGGGTAATGCACAGTGCAGGGTGGGGTGGGTAGGTTGGGCAATACCCACAGTCCTGCTACACCATGTGCTGATGCATCCCCCATGCATGGTGTGGCTGGGCTATGAGTAGCACCTGTGCATGGAGTAGGTAGATTCGGCAACGCATCAGTGCACAGCGCAGCTCAGCCATGGGTACTCTACTGCTTGGTGCAGTGAGACTAGGCAATGCTGCTCTATGGCTTGGTGCAGCCAGGTGTCACCTGTTCAGCCAGTCTAGGGATTGTGGCATGGGTGCTTGGCCCAGCAGGGCTATGGACAGCACTGTGTTTGGTGCAGCAGGGAAAAGGGGTTGTGCCATGTCTGGTGTGTTTTTGGCACCGATACCTCAGGAAGAGGCTACTTGAATTGATGAGATTTTATGGCTGGTCTGGCTCTGGAGTTGCTGAGACCACTTGTGCTGGGTGTCTGTCCAGAGGGGTAAGCTGTAGGACAGCCATGTTTCCTAAAATAAAAAAGATGGTTATGGCTTAAGGGAGCTACACCCCAGCATGCGGGGCTAGGGCTGACCTCTCAGGCAGCTGATGCTGACTCTTGCCCCAAGCTCCATGCCTTGTGTGTCAGCCATATAGATCACTTCTGTAGTGATCTGCCATGGTGAATGAAGTAGATTGTGCAGAGCCTAACTGAGTAGTCTGCATCCTCTGTGGCACAGAGATCTTAAGGCAGGGGTGGGCAAGACAGCCTCTGCAGTCCGGATCTGGCCCTCCAAGCAGGTGGATCCAGACCACAGTCACCTGATTGGCCTGGGGGCGGGAGGAGCATGCAAAGACTCCTCCCTCTGTGGCACCTAGAGGGAACTGCCAGCTGGTGATTCTTTCTAGGGGAGGGGGAGAACGGGGAGGCAAGACTTCATGCACTCACCCGTCCCCATGCCAATCCGGTCCCCGTCCATGGGTGGGGAAACACGAGACGTCTCCTGGCCGCTCCCTTTCTGGGCAGCCTGGGGCTACTTCAGAAATGTATGCAATTCCTGCAAGAGCACAAACACCAAGTACTCTTAAGTTCCAGACAGTGCTGTGGGCCATAGCTCATGGATTGATCTGTCCTTCCTAGCTGAAGAAAGCCATCCACTGTTAGTTGAGGTGATCTGTGTTCCCCATGGACATAGAGTGTCCACTGGCCTTAAGACAGCTGAGGCTATCATCCTTGGATGCTGACTGGGGATGATAAAATGCGTATATATAGGTAAACATAACCGCTGAAAAATTCAGTGGTTGCACATTTAAGTGTGGGGCCAAGCAACTCTGCTCTGGGGAGACAGTTTGAAAACTCCCACCTCCCTCTCCAGCGTGGGGGTGGGGAGGCAGGCAGCTTCACAGGAGCCAGTGCATATGGGGGGCTGGCTTGAATCAGAGGCAGTAGCATGTGGGGACCGTGTGTAACCATGCACGTTAACCATGCATGAGTTCACTGGATACACGGGTACACGTTCACATCCCTAATACTGATGGCTACTTAGCTATAGATCATTGGAAAGATTGTCCGGGCAACAAGGACCCTCAGATTTCCTTGATCCTGGTTAGTTAGGTCTTAGGCCTGGGTATAGTAATTTCCTAAGAGTGCATGTGGATACAATTTCCAGGCTGACTTTTTGCTAGCTATGTCAGAGGCGCATGCACTGCACTTATCTGTAGGGCTGTACCAAATTCATGGCCATGAAAAATGAGTCAGACTATGAAATATGGTTTCCCCCGGTGATATCTGGTCTTTTGTAAGTTTTTACCCTATACTGTGCACATATTGTGGGGGGACTAGTGTTTCTCTAATTGTTGGTCTGGAACCAAAAGGGAGACCAAGGGGTGATTTTAGGGGGGTTGCAGTATTGCCACCCTTGCTTCTGCACTGCCTTCAGAGCTGAGTGGTGGCTGTTGGCTGGGTGCCCAGCTCTGAAGACTGAACTCTGCCAGCAGCAGTGCAGAAATAAGGGAGACAGTACTGTAACCTCCTAAAATAACCTGACTCCTGTGCTGCTGCCTTGAGAACTGGACAACTGGAGAGTGGTGGTTGAGGACTGAGGACCCAGCTCTGCAGGCAGCAGCACAGATGCAAATGTGGCAATGCCATACCACATCATCCTTACTTCTGTGCTATTACTTCAGAAGTGGGCTTCTGGCCAGCAGCTGTTGCTTTCCAGGCACCCACATATGAAGGCAGCGCCACCACCTGCAGCAGTTTAGAAGTAAGAGAAGCAGTACCATAAACCCCTCTGCAATAACCTTGCAACCCCACACAACTCCTTTCTGAGTCGGAATTCCTACAATTCTGACACCATAAAATTGCAGATTAAAATAGCTGAAATCATGACATTTACTACAGGCAGTCCCCGGGTTACATGGATCCGACTTACATCAGATCCCTACTTACAAACGGGGTGAGACAACCCCTCACTAGCTGCTTCCCCCCAGCAGACCAGGGAGACGCGGAGCGGCTTTTCTCAGCAGACACCTCAGCTTGAGAATAAAGGACTGAGGGAAGTGAGGTGTGGGAGAATAAAACTGAGCTCTGGAGAAATGTTTGGCTAGAGTTTCCCCTACAATATGTACCAGTTCCAACTTACATACAAATTCAACTTAAGAACAAACCTACAGTCCCTATCTTGTACGTAACCCGGGGACTGCCTGTATTTGTAAACTCCAGGGTCTGTGAAATTGATCAAAATAGACTGTGAATTTGGTAGGACCCTGACTGATGCGCACCAGCATGCTGCCTCTTCAGACAAGTGAACATACATCCAAGATAGAAATGTGCAGTTGTCCAGATTGAATTAACACACTATGATCTTTGCCAGCTATTGTGTATTGCCTCAGAGCAACCTTCATGGGTCAGCTTTGCCTGACCACTTTCAGCTGCTGACAGCCAAACGTGACTTGTGATGCTTTGGGAGACAGTAGAGTAAGTACAGGTTACTGGCTAGTTTGTGCAGAGTTTTCTTTGCTCTGGATCTAAATTACACAAATGCACTCAAACTTATGGACATGTTTTCTTCTTCTTAAACCCTTGTACTCCGAGTGAAGCGTAGGTCATCTACAACTCTCCTCCACTTCACTCTGTCTTGAGACAAAACTTCCAGCTGATTCCAGAAGTACCCCAATTGTTGTCCTTCAATCTCAGTAGATCATTTCCACATTGTCCGAGGTCTTCCTCTTTTGCATTTTTGTATGAGCACCTTGTAAATGTGTGTGTTGCTAATTATAATTATCAGCATTCAGGAGCTGCACTAAGGTATTTTGACTCTTCTTTTTAATATTTGCCATTGTTATTAATATGGGCACTGCTATTGCATAGTGTATTTCTTAATGCTGATTGTAAAGCCTTTTGAAGGTTCAAAACTCTGCCTGTACGAATATGTAGCACCATAAATGAGTGGAGTGTGACTTTGGACATATCGGAGTGATCGAGGTAAAAGGTGGTGTGGTCAGGGCAGAAGCTGAGGTGGAGTAAGTTGAATAAGAGGGTGGAGGAAGAAAAGCACATACAATCAAGAGATCTATGGTTGGCTGCTGGTTTGTCAGCTCTTCTATCAGCTGCTCCTGACTTCAAAGTATTTCTTTCTGCCAAAGTCTGTAGCGCACTATAAGGACTGTGAGTTCTTACAAAAATCTTACTTTGTTTTTTTTGCTAGAGGAGAGGAAAATATATATAAATAATCATTCAGCATTTGCCCAAACAGGGAGCCTGAC